AGATATGACGTGCAAGCCACAACCCTGCCCAAAAACCGCTCTCTTCTGAGTAAAGTTCCGTAATTCATTAACTTGAAGACACCATTTTCATTGCTTCAAATATATTAAAAGACAAACCAAAAGCCTCTGTGACGGTTCGAGCAGAGCAGTATTCACTTCTAAATTTAGAAAAATAAATGTTCATGAAGCAACAGGGTTCGGAGGAAAAGTTAAATTAATCCTAACACACTGCTTCAAAGATTGAAACTTGGAACAATGCTGCATATGCCAATTAATTTTCCTGGATAACATCTCTTGCATATATTCTAAAAATGTGACGTAAAATGCTATACACAACCAGAACAGAAGAGATTAGAGTGGGGATTGAAAAGGGTCGTCAGAAGTTGAGTGGTTTGGTCATTCCAAAATTGAAAAATGAAACAGAAGAGGTAAAAAAATTCGAACACAGGATTTTGTTAAGAGGAAGAAAGACAAGAACTCCCCTGGAAAGCAGCAGAAGCGTTGCAGATGAATAACATAGTAACGGTTATGCTTACACCATTATCATCAGGCGTGCCTTTGAAGAGACGGCGTCGGCAATTTAAGTAAATATAGAGACAAAAACTCTGTCTGCGAAATTCTAGTAAATGCCACTTTTTAAAACAAAACTCGGTTTCTATTTCTTGCAAGGGAAGCTCAACTGCCCTTCCCTCCCTTGACATCCACTCAAATCTTCTCTTTTAAAACTGCAATGCCTCGCAGCCTGTTCATACAAGCCAAAAGAATTTATTGTAGAAGAGAGAAGGAATTGCTAGCAATGGAGATTAAGGTAGACTCTCATCATGATTCATTGAATGCCGATGAAGAAAAACTCCCTCTCCTGAAGGGAGTGGCCATGCCAAATGAGGATACGAACTTGGTGCAGAAAGCGATTAGTCAGACATTCAAGAGCACAGCCCACCTGGCCAATCTTTTACCTACTGGAACAGTTCTTGCCTTCCAGCTTTTATCGCCCATATTTTCGAATCAGGGAAACTGTGACTCGGTTACTAGGTCCATGACTGCAGGACTTGTCCTCCTCTGTGGGTTGTCTTGTTTCCTGTCAAGCTTCTCCGATAGCTTTAGGGACAAGAAAGGAAATGTATGTTATGGGCTTGCGACATTCCGAGGCTTGTGGGTCATTGATGGGTCGGCAACCATTCCACCAGAAATTGCTGCAAATTACCGGCTGCGGTTTATAGATTTCATGCATGCCCTCATGTCGATACTAGTATTTGCAGCTATTTCCTTGTTTGATCAGAATTTGGTAGATTGTTTCTATCCATCACCATCGACCAAGGCTCAGGAGGTCCTCACAGCATTGCCTGTCGGGATCGGTGCCCTTTGTAGTATGTTGTTCGTTGTTTTTCCCACCAAGCGCCATGGAATTGGCTTCCCCCTTTCTGCTAATTAACACTTGATATACCAGTGAAAATATCCTTCAACCAAATTTAATAGCGCTGCAAATTCATTCGCATATCTTGACCTCTCCCTGTTTTATCCTGCAAGTTAATTTTCTTAGTCGGTTCATGCTCTTCAGATCACTGAAGGTGCTAAAATTGATCTTTCATGGTGTCACAGCTTGAACAAACATCCACATCCAACTCAGCTCCTGAAACTCCTCAATTTTCATGGCTGGGGACATGGTTCAAAAATCATCCCGTTCAAATAAATAACACAAATAGAAAAATTCATCAGGGTTTGAAAAATCAATGAAAAAATTTCAGAAAATGATTTGGAAAGTTTAAATTGAGTTTCTCACGAATTCAAGTATCATGAACACTCATATTTAAGTAGAACGTCAAGAAATCACATCTAATTACAACCATGCCATTATATTTTATCCGTGAAGCATTGAAGGATTGGATTTTTGGATTTCGAAAAGTTCAGGATAATCCAATGCTTAAACAGAAGTTCTTCACAGACACCTATCCAAATATCTAAAAAGACAAGAAATATAAGAACTAGCCATTAAATGTGTCCTTGGTTTTACAAGCCTGAACGCCCTCAAATTTCAATGCGCAGTTTTGGGGAATGGAAGATGTTATCTACTGGATGAAGGAAACAAATACTCTTGATCACCTGTCGAATCTGCACTTCATGAAAATGTCATGTGACTTGGAAGGATGCAATACGAAGTGTGAGTTTCATACATGATCCATAATGTAGATCGCCTCGTCCAGAGACCGGAACTAATGCTACCAGAAAATGAAAAATATATTTAATGAAAGCACTTTCTAAAGCATAGAATCCGGGATAGCACAAACATTAAAAAAACTATTGGATCTGCAACGACAATTACACCAGAGGCTCAAACAGTAAATCTATTCAATGGGACAGCTGAAAATCCGTATTACTGTTACCGGAGAAAAGAATACAAAATTTGAATTGAAAGTCTTTGATTCAAACAATTCATCGAGTTATATAATTTTTTTTATAAGAAGTAGAACTATTCCCTTAACTATATATTTTTAAAACGATGCATGATTTATATCTTTAGAGTATTGAGTCATTCATGTTTATATTTTTTTTTAGTTTTGTACCTTAAAGTAATAAGTAAAAAACTATCATTTATATAAGGACTCGTTGCATATCAATATTCATGCTATCCTGGTACAGGATAATATGGAGGTGATATCAGGGTTTTGGATTTACAACTATAGTTATTCATGAATATCATAGGTAAAAATTCAAGAGGTACATCGCTATTCTTGAAATGGATGAAATGAGAAAGCAAATCCATTAATTTTATGAGTGTCTTGACTGTTTTGATAATCGAGACCATAATAATCAAAATGTTAATCTTTTCCTTCACAAGCAACACCATGGTTTTAATGATGATTCTTCTTCTTCTTAACATCAAAGAAGAAGTAACAAAATGCAATATTGAGATTATGATGCAAAATTTGATATTCTTGAAAGTGGTATTTCTAGTAATATTTATCAGAAGAGGCAGACTTTTGATCAGAATATTCAAAAGAAATTTTAGAAACAAATAACTGATGTTAAAGCTGATTTTTTTATATAATTCTAGATCATTTATAGGTTGGAATAAACCATTGAAATTTAATGAGGATGAGGAAGATAATATTGAAAAAAAAGATTTTCATGTAGAAATCTCAATCTAGGAAGAACATAAATTTGCAAAAGAAGTTCATGTTACATTAATTGAGCAGCAAGTTTGCAGAGAGATGGTTCTAGAAGTGGATTTTAATTTTAAAAAAATCATGGAGGATGTGCTAACATGTGGTTAATAAGAACTATAAAATTAATGGGGTCAAAGTTGATATTTTTTTTACAGGAAAAAAGTGAACTTGCCAAAGTTTTAAAAACATTCCAAAAACAATTTTATTATTTAGAACATAATAGAGTTAACAGAGTTAGGAGAGTTGAGTTGTTCTTACATGATTATTCAAGGAACATCTATGACATGAAAAGCAATGTGAAAGATATTGAAGGACTCCGATTCAAGGTTGCATAAGGGATCATGAAAGTGCTTTGAATGGACATTTATAAGATTAGGAAAAAAAAACTATTTAAATTTGAGTATGAGTTTTTTTTCAATTAGAAGAACATAATGCAAAAGTGTCCTTTAATGTTGTACTAATTCATTTTAGCAAAAATGACATAATTGAGATTTAAATAAATTATTTTGATAGAAAATAGGTAAATATAAACTAGTACATGTTTGTAACTTTTAGAAACACAAATGGAAACTTCCAAAGCTTAAAAATTAAAATATACATAACTTATTATAAAAAAACTCCAATATATATATAAAATATCCTATTATGAACTTGAGAACCATATATTATAGATTTATTTTTTCATGTAATGAAGAGATGCAAATTTAGACTCAAATTTAGCCCATGAAATGATAGTAAACATCATTAAATTTAGACCATTCAAAGTGTTATAAAAAATTGAATCAAATATTTTTATCATAAAATACTAACAAATTTTAATATTAGCTATATTTTTAATATAAAAGATATAGTTACATATATAACATAATAACTTATTTCTCTTGAAACCCCTAACATATTACTTTTATCATCAACATAAAAGAAATATATTGATCTATTTTAAATGAATAAGTTATTTTTATTAAAAATTATGAGGTCCAGCGAATACCAATTAATGAGCAAGATAACTTGCTTTAGATTGTTTTTAAACATCATTAAATTTAGACCATTCAAAATGTTATAAAAAATTAAATCAAATATTTGTTATCATAAAATACCAACTAAATTTTGATATTAACTCTATTTTTAATATAAAAAATCTAGTTATTATAAGATAACAAATTATTCCTCTTGAAACCCTAACTCATTATCCTTATTATCAGAATAAAAAAAATAATTTATTTTAAATAAATAAGTTATTTTTATTAAAAATTATAAAGTTCAGTGAATATAAATTAATAAACAAGACAACTTACTTTAAATTGTTTATGGATTACTAAACATACAAATTAGTTAATGATCTTCTCTATTGGTATTATCGAAGTCATCTTGAACAATACTGGCCAAGTTTTTCCAGCTCTGCGAAAGTTGATGGAAATATCAGTCCCAAAACACAATTCATAAACGTATTGGTCCAAAACTATAGAAATAAGTCAACATGTCACTTTTTGGTTGGAAAAGGGGGCACTTCCAAGCTTACTGACTTCTATTTAGTTGGGTTTTGATTAGGGATCGATTTTGTTGTGACTATATTTATGTAATTTTTTTATATATAATCGAGAACTTTTGATGAATTAAAAAGAATCTGCGAACAGGTTTTCTCCCCTCTTTCTCTTCTCCTACTCGTCTTCTCTTCATTTTCTTTTCTTTTTCACTTCAATTTCCTTTTTAACCTGAATCAATAAACCTCGCATTTGAGAATGATGCTGCTGAAAGTTAGCATTTCATGCACTAAAGACATCACCATGCATACAGAAAGTGGATCTGTGATTTAAACTACCGGGAAGACGTGGGAACTGTGCTAGCAAAGAAAGGATTTACAACATGAGAAAGTTTTACATGGTTAGAAAAAGAAAACTAGCACCGACTAGTTAAATCCTCATCCAGATTTACAAGGAGATGCTCAACCGATTTTCTGATTAGCCCAACCTCAAGAACAACTACACCAAAGTCTTAGTTTCAAACTAGTCAGATCGGCTATGTGGATCCTTTTGTTCCATGCAGCAAGATTATAAACCAAATCTACCTAACTGTCAAGATAGTTTGAATCATCATCTCAACCACTACCAGCTCGAAAGCTTCCAGTGCCTTTCTTCTATCCCAAGGCCAAATCCACCAACTACAGCACCCTTTGTGGCCTCGTCAGGAACACATCCGTCAACCAGCACCTCATAAAAAATGGGGAACCCACTTTCTCTCTCTGCATGTCTGTGTGCATATGAGGACACCTTTTAAAGATTAAACTCATAATGGACAAAAAACTTTCTCCAATAATTGTTAATAGAAAGTCTCCTTCAAGAATTTCGGTTAGAATAGCTTTTCCCATTTTCAGTTTCTGTTTTTACAAGGCATTAAAATCAACTTTTCCTTGTTTCACCTGCATTGAAGTTCAACTTCTTCCTCTGCATATAATTGATGAAGTTCCTCAAAATAGACTTGTAATGTGAGCCAGAAGCTGAAATGAAGAACAGTGTAGCCAGAATCAACAGGTGCCAGGTCATGGAGATTAGAGGAGTGGCTGAGAACTCCCAGAATAATAATGAGCAAAAACTCCCCCTAATTGGAGGTACATCCGCTGTTGAAACAGAGCAAAAGACCTAGAAACATAAAGCTCTTACCAAGACATTTCAAAGCACTGGCCATTGCCATTTATTTACCGACAGGAACAGTTCTTGCTTTTCAGCTTCTGTCGCCCTTGATCACAAAGCAAGGTAACTGCAGCCCAGAAGGCCAATACTTGATTGCCACACTTCTAGCCATCTGCTGATTGTCATGTTTTCTATCATGCTTCACTGATAGCTTTAGGGAAACGGCTGTCATGGGTTTGCCGCATTTCACAGTTTGTGGATTATTGATGCATCAGAAAACATTCCATCTGAATTTTCAGCAAAAAATATCACCTAAAGTTTGTTGAATTTTTGCATGCCTTTATGTCAGTGCTTTCATTTGCAGCAGATGCACCATGCGACATGTTGGAGTTGTTGTTTGCAGCGTGTTGTTTGTAGCATTTCCCTCTAAGCATCGTGGAATTGGCTTTTCCCACTCAGCTAACTAGCACATTATGTCTGTTCAGGGTATTAACCTCCTCCAGCTTCACAAAGTGGCACCAATTGGCAATTTGAATGTCTTCATCATTTATCTACTTTATTCACTTTGAATTAGGAATTATCATGTCGTTCCCTGCAATTCAACCGTTATGTGGTCAGATGCAGCAAATTCATGACCTTAAATGTTTTGATCATGAATTTGTTGATTTTAATAGGAGATCAGGATGCAGTATGGACATCATAAAAGTCTTCAAACTACAGAAAGTCTAAAACGAGAGACATTTCAGAGGCAAGCGACTTAAGAACCAAGCCAGATTGGCAAAAGTTTGCAACTGGGAAAGAAAATGGAAATCCACTGGAACATCAGATTCAGAAGGTTTTTTCTTTTCTTGTTTTGGTACAAAGAGAATAGAAACAAAACAATGAATCCTCAGGTGCACAATGCCAGCACCATCATTAGCCAATAATCTTCTCAAACATGGATGAGATTCCCAATCCACACAAGGAAGCTTTTGCAAAGCACCAAGCTTAAGCTAAAAAGTCAGCCGCATAATTTCATTCACGTAGAGTATGTTGAGTATTAGAAACATACCGGATTGCAGGAGGAAGGGGATGGGTAAGAACATGGGCGGATTACAAAGCATCCTATTCGTTCAACAACAGATACAGAATTAAGTTTGTTGCTCAATCATAATTACAAAATGCAGTGAATATAAACAATGGATATGTACATCTGACAAGAAGAAAGTGATCAACCATGAGATAATGCATGTCCAATGAGAAAGAAAATTATTTGGGGTCTTTGAAAAGAACAAACAAGCATTGACATTACAACGAATTACAAGACATGTGCTCATGAAAAAAAGAGTTGTGGTGAGCTTTTGTTATAATATAAAACAAGAAGTAAAAAGTTAAAGCTCAGAAACCGATTACGCTATCCATTTTCTAAGTTAACTTGGACAAATCATGGTGTATACCCATCCATGAACCTGTTGTTCTTGAAATTTTACCAGACACCACGTAGCAAGGATTTTTACGGCTGTGTAACAAAATAGTGCTCATAACTCTACAGCACAGAGTAGAAATCATGTGGAAGGTCCCTTTCAAGCTTGCTCTTGTCTTAAAATTACATCTATGCATCTGTCATCACTATTAATCTTCTTATCTGCTAAAAGAGTTATACAATGCAAGAAAGGCTTGCGTGTCTATAGATGTCGGGACATAGAAAAGCAATTAGAGAGAAAGAAAATATGCCCAATGCCCTGTAAATACGAAAAACTAGCAAATAAGCATAATGATTGAGGATAAAACAAGTTGAAGTGCGATAAACCTTGCAGTTGGGAATGATGCCACTAACAGTTGGTATTTCATATGTTAATGGCATCACCATGTATAGAGTGAGGGAATCTATGGTTTAAACCAGCTGAGAAAATATGGAAACTTTATTTTTGAAGGAAGGAACAACAACATGAGAGTTTTCTGTGACTGGAACAAGAAGACTAGGGCCAAGTGTGCTTACTAATTCATTAATCTTCGTCATGATTTTCTATACATGCTCAACAAATTCATTCATTAGTTCAACCACTATCGACTCAAAAGCTTCCCGGACTTTTCTTCTATCCCAAAATCCACCAACCACAGCACTCCATATTCCATGGTCAGGAACACATCCATCGAGCACCATCTCATCAAAAATGCGAGCAGCTTTATGCAAGTCCCCTTTCTTGCAGAAACATTTCACAAGAGAATCAAAGGTCACAGCATCAATTGAGATGCCCCTAGTACGCATACCTAAGTACAACTGAAAGGCTCTATCCAGGTTGCCATTCGTACAAAGGCCTTGGACTACCATATTATTAAGCTTAACATGTAGGCTCCATGTTACTCGGTTTGGTGAGATCTGCCCTAGAACCATCTCATCAAGGTAGGTTGCAGCCTCCTGGAACTTGCGAATATTGCAGAACCCATTTATGATTTTTCCATAGAGCCCTGCATCTGGTTTCAATCCCTGAAGCTTCATCATGTCAAGAATCTCCACAGCTTCAGCAAGTTTTCCTTCTTTACAGAGCCCATTAATTAACGTGCTATATGTTACCATATTAGGCTTGTGCCGCTTCTTGATCATCATCTCTAGTAGCTCCATGGCTTCCAAAGAACCCCCATCCTTGCAAAGACCATCCATTAAAGAACTATAGGTAAACACATTTGGCTCAATGGCTTTCATCTTCATCTCATCAAACAATCCCATAGCTTCATCCACGCTACCAGCCTGGCACAAGCCATGAATCAAACAAGAGTACGTGACAACGGACGGTGAACATCCCTTTGTCTCCATCTCTTTAAACAACTCCTTGGCTTCAAAAGTCTTACCCAATTTACACAAACCATTAATTAGTGTACCATACGTATACGAATCCGGATCACACCCGCGTTTTGGCATCTCACGAAATATCTCAAAAGCAGCATCAATCGTTCCACTATTCTTACAAAGGGCTTTAATCAAAACATTAAGCGAAACAACACTCGGCCGAACACCCATTTCCCTCATATACTTATAAAAACTCATCGCAACCTTTAACTGATTCTCTTCAACAAGAATAGCAAACACACTGATGTATGACTTGTCAGTGGGTTTGCACCCAAAGTCATTCATTTTATGAAAAACCCTGATGGCATCTAATGGCATATGAACCCGGCCATAGCCTCTGCAAATTGAAAGGAATATCTCCTCAGTAATTCTGCACTTCTCTTCCTTCATTCTAATAAGCATTTCCTCTGCGGGTCTAAACTCATTCGCGGATACTAATTTAGAGATCATGACGCCAAACGTGGTGTGATCATGCCTAAAACCATTGCTGTACTCCGCGCTTGCGGAATCAAATATGATTTTAGCTTTGCGTAAGTCCCTTTCTGCTCTAAGTAGTTGCTCAACTTTAGATGGGGTGATTTGTTTTGACCATTTAAGCAATGTTTTCACGCCCATCGCTGCTAGTTCACTTTTCACTTTCCTTTTAGCGTTTTATCAAACAGGTGGTGTGCGGGTAAGAAGTGATGGAAAATACCGTAGGTTCTTGGAATACAAAAGTATGTTTAGCAGGTTTTTAGAGAAACCTGCAAATGGCCTCTAAAGAAAAAAGGTTGGGAAGGAGGGAAATGGAAAGCAATTTTATGGTTCTGTTTCTGTGCTTGGGAAATGCAAGAGAGGTTCGTTTGTCTGTGCGTGAATTTTGATTTTGAGTTAATGGGTATTTTTAGGCTGCGTTCTATTTGAACCCAATGCATCCATAGCCCATTTCTACTTGGGCTTTAGGCACTTCTTGGACTCTTGGCAGAATTTTTTTTAGCGGACAAAATTTTCTAGAATGATGGGCAAAAATGTACTCGTACGAGAAAAGTAAAGATTTTAATCAGTAAAAGTAAAAATAGAGTGTAATTATTTTTTAAAGTATTTTTATTTGAAATTTTATTAAAATAATATTTTTTATTTAAAAAATTATTTTTATTATTGATGTATTAAAATAATTTAAACTATTAAAAAATATTAATTTAAAATAAAGATAAAAAAAAATTATTTTTTTTTTAAAATATTTTTAAAATACAAAAATACACAAGGTATAAAAAACTGAAATTGAACAATTCAAGCTATTTAAAGATAACCATGAATTGAAATCTAAGGTATTCTACGTTAGGATTGTGTTTTTCAAACATGTATAGTTGAGTTGAAAAGCTATTTGTAAGAGAATATGGGTTTATTTGTGTAATAAAAAATAATAATAGTTTAATTACAAAAACAACATAACCACTTTGCTAACATGAATTTTTTTTATCTCTTTACACGCACATTTGGTCGGTCAGGTGTCATAACCCAGCATCTCTGAAAAATCTAGAAGTAATGGAGAAGTTTTCTTCTAACGATATCACATTCTCGACCACGTTTATTATTATGTTTTAAAAATATTTTTAAAAAGATATAGTTTTTTTATAAATTAATATATTTTTAATATATAATTTTTTTATAAATTAATATATTTTTAATATTTTAAAATTATTTTAATATACTAACACTAAAAATCATTTTTTAAAATAAAAATATTATTTTTATATATTTTAAAATAAAATTCAATCACAACCATACTTCTAAATATATTTTTAAAGCAAGAAGTCTAACCATTGATGTGAAGAAAAGCTCGATTAGGCAGCAAGTAAAACGGCAAGTCTCGAGTCTTGAGTTCCACGTACTTTATTAGTTTTTAACAGAAATGACATTAACAAAAGCATGAAATCTTTAGGAAAACACTGTTCATTAAATCAGTATCACGATGGTTTTATGCTTTCCATAAAAAAATATTTGAACTCGTTGAGTGGTGCGTTCTTTGCAAAAAACTTATTAATTATTATTAAATTACTTGGGGCTAAGTCAGTTTTTTTTTTCAAAGTAAAAAAAAAATTAAAATTGAGATATTTTAACAATGATTTTTTTTTGTTATAATTAGTTAATTAAAAAAATATAATATTTTAATAAATAAATAAATATAATTAAAAAACAAAAAATAATTAAAACATATATATATTCCTAGATGATATAAACCAGTTTCTGTCGTGTTATTAAAAGCATCGCAACTAGTATTATTTTTTTTAGTCTAGATGATATAAACCAGTTTAAGCATCGCAACTAGTATTATTTTTTTTAGATGATGCATATGTCAAGTAGTAGTGTGGTTTATTATTGATTTCTTTTCTTTTCCTTTGACTTTTTTTTTCTCTACTCGAAAATCATGCTAGCTATGTGTTTTTCTTCCTTTTTTCTCCTCTAATTTTTTTTCTTTTTCCTTATACTTTTAATTTTTTATTTTTTATTTTTGGTTTTTTTGTAAAATATGATTATTTTTTTCTGGTTACATCCTTCAATCCCAATTTATGATATTTAATTTTTCTAATCTAGTTCTTATTATTTTTATTATTATTATTTTTACTTTTAGGTCATTTGGTTAAAACTGATTTTTCTTTTGAATTTCACCCTCTAATAAAAAGTTTATTCTTATTTTTTTTTATCCTCATTATTTTTTTTTCTTTTGGGTCCTTTTTTTAATTATCCTCATTATTTTTTATTTTTTTTCTTTTGGGTCCTTTTTTTAATTTATTTTTTCTTTTTAATTTTACCCCTCCATCAAAAATCATTTTTTATTTCCTTTTTTACTCTTATTATATTAATTGTTATTTTTTTATTCTTTAATTTAATTATTTAAGAATTGGGCTTCGCGAGTTTTTTAGATATAATGCTTTCGATCTAATTACAGAGTCACAAGTTTAAAAAATTAATGCAAGTTAATATTTTTTTAACTTATTTTCTTTTCAGTTTTTATCATTCGACATTGTTTTTTCTTACAAAATAGGTTTTTATTATTTTTTATTTAATTATCTCGATCTCATAATATAAATCATGAATTTAATAGGCTATCAAGAGTTTATCATGCCAACTCGAGCTCAATTGAGTTGTATTTTTTATCCTTTGTTTAATCAATTTTATTCTTCTATATTTAACAAGTTAAGAATTGAGTTACGTTATTTGTTTTTTTTTTAATATATATTTTTTTAAGTTATTGTGATTATTTAAAAAAAAATGGTTCAATTGTGTTATTGACTATTTTTTCTATCTATGAATTAAATAAAACCAATTTATTTTACCAATCAAGTTATGACACGAGTTGTAGATTTTTCTTCCTACTTTTAAAATGTGTTTACAACAATTGGACATATTTATGAGAGATATTTTAGACTCTGTGAAACATAATGATGATCCCTTTAAAAAGGGTTAAAAGAAAATTGAGTTTCATTCTTATATTAAAAAATATATTTACTTGAATTTGTTTCGATTTTAATTTTCAAGATCATGAATCCCACTACCAAGAAAAAGTTTTAAACAAGATCTTTATATGATGAAATCCTCTAAGTCACGTGAGGGGTGATATGTTGTGTCAAAGAGAGAAATCGATAGCTAATTTACCCATGTTACAAGTCAGGTTTGATTAAAAAAATTATATATATATATTGTAACATAAATAAAATTCTTCATAATGAACTAAACAAATTTCACATATATTTAGTAAAATAAATCCACACACACACACACACACACACACACACACATATATATATATATATAATATGTTATGTATGTATTGTAACATAAATAAAATTCTTCATCATGAACTAAAAAAATTTCACATGTATTTAGTAAAATAAATCCAAAATTATATGTCACATATCTCCCGCGTGCAGCGTTGTTGGCGATTTTCAAGGACATATACTAAAATAACATCCTAAAATCATTCTATTATTCCACAGTCCATAGACTCTGCAGTCCACACCACACAGACACGGAGCAACAATAACTAATTAATATGAGACAAGCGTTCTTTGATTTGTTTATTTTAGTCACCACCTATTATTTAATTAAAGATTAAGTTTACTAGTTTTTGTCAGAAATTCACGAATAAAAAACTGGTTGTGGCTAGAGAATGTATTAGCACATTTAGCACACTCTACATAAAGTAAACTACATCATGATTTAATATAATTAAAAAAATTAACATATTAGCCAAATTCTTAAAGTTTTAATAAATCAGTTATTAAATCTCAAAATATATGCAGAAACATGTTCTTGCATTTTTACAGGAAGTACAACATGATTTTGTTCGTCCTTAAGATATTTGACCATATGCAAATTAAAATACTTAATTCTTTTTTTTTCTTTTTGATTTTTATATTTCAATAACATACATAAAAAAAATACAAACACACATCCCTTTTTTATTATGTTTTTCTCATATACCTACATTTACATGTTATAAAATATTAAAAGTTCAAAATAAATCATACAACAATAATCTAATATACACAATAACATTTTATAACATTTGACACATCACGGAAAATGCAAAATAAACTCGGATCTATAACATTTACATGTTATAAAATATGAAAAGTTCAAAATAAATCATACAACAATAATCTAATATACACAATAACATTTGAAAATTACAAAAGCTTCTGAAACAGTGTTGGGGATCATGACTGTGATCATGATCATTGCTGTTTTTGTGGTTGCTAGTTAATAGAGAAAGATATTAGGGATTTGTATTCGGTGAAAAGGGAGAAAGATATTCATTTTATCGTGATGACTGGAGTGAAGCAGGACATATACTAAAATAGCATCCTAAAATCATTCTATTATTCCATAGTCGATAGACTCTACAGTCCACACCACACAGACACAAAGCAACAATAACTAATTAATATGAGACAAGAATAGAGATAATTGCCACATTTTAAAAACATGATTTTCACATTCCACAGTCCACACATGCTAAACTCATTCAATTAGGTAGACACAATTCCCACTAATTTAGCAAAATATTAGTTTTACATACTAATTCATACAATCAGGCAAACATAATTTCCACATTCCACAGTCCACAGTGAACTCCACACCATGCTAAAATTATTAAAATAATTCCATCAATTCAATTCAAGGGATAGAAAAATATTATAAATGAACAAATTGTTATTCAAAATTATCATCAAGATTAGCAAAATCAACATTCAAAATCTATATAAGGGATGAGGAGAATATTATACCATTACAGTTTTACATTTTGAAGGCTGAAAATACAATTACAAGGGAACAACTTACGATGAAGAGGAAGCCGTTGATGATGAAGGCTGAAGAGGAGAGTGATGTCACTTGCTACTGTTAATAAAGAGAAAGCCGTGAGCTATTAAGAAGATCATCGCCGCTGTTGATGTAAAGAAAGCCACGACTGTGAGCACTGATGACTGAAGTGAAGAAAGAGAAGGGGTGAAGACTGGATCATGACTGTGATCATGATCATTGCTGTTTTTGTGGTTGCTAGTTAATAGAGAAAGATATTAGGGATTTGTATTCGGTGAAAAGGGAGAAAGATATTCATTTTATCGTGATGACTGGAGTGAAGACTTTGAAGAATTGGTGTGACTGTGCATTTACACAGACAATAGGCACCGAATAGCTGGAGCATAGGGGGACATTTTTCTTCAGTTTATGTGTTTTAGTGAATTTGCAAACTCGGTATTGAAATCATGATTTTTTACGATTTCACTTGATTTCAATCACTCAATTTTTTATTCTTTTAAATGATTTAGCGCGCAAACCATGTTTTGACTTGTAAAACCATATGATTTTACAAGTTAAAAGGTTTTAACAACTTTAGAACCA